TTTACATCAAATGCTTGTAAACTCTTCCCATGTTTCACTACCTGGACACAGTACGTGACACAACCTTGAACAGTCTCTATGAAATCACGTCACAGAAACATTCATGCATTCCCCAGAAAAGCGTAAAATTGCAGATGTTCTGTGGCAGCCCATGCTGGAATGTTTTTATCATTCTCTCTGTTTACCAATGTTGACTGAAGTCAGTTATAACAGCAGTTGGAGAGTCAGAATAACAAAAGTCTGACAGCGTAAAAGATTACAGAGGGCCCTGGCCACCAGCCCACTGATGCTATCATTACGTTTATTTGTTCTAGGTTGAGATAATACTGTTTTCAGGGATTCTTTTTTTTTTTTTTTTTCTGTTTACAATTTCAGATCAAAGAGAAAGGATCATCAGGTGACAGTCTAACTTTCATCTGCAAGTAAATGAGCTTCCTCAGTTCAGAACATGCTATACCTTTATTAAAAACCTTCCGAAATGCTCTCGGGTAAAAATTTGAGTGCAGTCAGTGTCAACTCACAATGCAGAAGCTGTAGGAGAAGAAAATGTATCCTTAACCAAAACGTGCACCATGTGCACATGCCCATTTTCCCCTCTTACAGCCGAATTGTGCAAGCATGGATTCTCCAAGAGCTTCAGTTCTCTCTCTGGTATGGTTAAATACAACCAGCGCTTGCAATGAACCTTCATGATGCAACACAGTGCATCAAACATATTGGGTTTTGTTCTCTTAAGTTAAAAAATATAATTCTAAAGCTTAAGTGGCAGCTAAAGACTAAAGGGTATTAATCCAATGTAACTGAAACGGTGACTTTTGTCTGTCTTTGCAGAAAAGTAACTTTGTGTGTTGTGACCCTGGGACTCACATCACTTGAACCAATAAAGTATCTGAGCACTTCGTATTCTTTCATGGCCACTGTCCTCACAATCCCCTCACGATACAAAGGTCCACTTTCCATCTTAACCTATCTTCATCTGAGTCACACAAAAGATGTCAGTGGCTTTGTTAGGAACTGAGTGATCTTCACAGTCCTGACTCAATGTTTTATGCAGCAGATAAGGCTTTGTCCTGTATTTGCTGCTCAAAGTCAGCAAATACAACACAGACTTGTAAAAACAATGCTGCAGAACTCAGTAACGCTCTGTTTGATTGTTCAAAGCATGCAGAAAGAGAAGGAGAACACTGTTACTTACCCTTAATTCTGTCTCCAGGGGAACGCAAGCTCAAAACCCCCACCTTACCAAGCACAGTACCTACGTCTCAAGCCAACACCAGGCAGAGTGGCAGGGCAGACAGCCCTCAGAAGAAGATCACTAACCAAAACGCCCGGCGGATGGCTAGCAGGTGCCTTTGGACACAGCTCCAGGGAAAAATGACTGTCAGTTGTTCAGAAAGTGCATATCACTGTACGTACATTGAATAAATATGGAATACCAGCGCAATCTGCTGTGAGCAATGTTTCAGTACCAGGAAAGCTTATCTTGGGGAGGAACTTGTAACAGCCTCATCCCTTGCTCCTCCATCCAGCAGAAATGTTACAAAAAGCGTGATTATAGCTATCAGGATAGACTGCCAATGCAAACACAACATTCTGTATTAAAATCAATTTTCATTTTTCCTTTCATAAAAATCAAAGCACAAAGGCTCTATTTTATCCCATTCATTAACAGTATGGTGTCAGCGGCTCTGTCTCGTTGGAGTGGCCAGCTCACTGCAAACGCTTAGTGCAAATTCTGCTTTGGCTAAGGACAAGCTCCTGATGTCCACGAAAGGAGACAAAAACCCTACAGATGTCTTTCCAACCAGTCTCTGTATTTCAGCAATGGTCAGGAAATGGTAGAAACGGTCTCTCGGGTTGAAATTTCTCAAACCCAAACCAAACCAGAATTTGTCTGGAATTTAGGAAAATTAATGCATGATGGAGCATGTATTATTTAGTCGTATTAAGTCAAAGTAACCGTACAGCCAATATGTCTGACTCAGTAGAAGGACATGTGGGTGACTTAGACACTGCTTGATTGCAGTAAATCGATCAGAAAACACCATTATTAAATCACAACACTTGCTTCTTTTTCTTTAATATACATTAAGCATGCAACTTAATCCACTTAAGATGCTTCTGTATACAAATGACAGAGTGGTCTGGCTGTCACCTTCTCTCAGGAGACAGCTGAGAAATACCAAGCTACTGGTTTGCCCTCCAACCACTAAAGGCAAGGTAAAACAGAGGCTGGGAATTCTGCAGCCCTGCAAAAGGGGATATTCCAGGGCTGATATTCCAAACTGGGTGAAATTACAACTCAAACATTGCTGTAACACCAGATATAGCTGTCAATATTTGGAACACTGACATATATATAGTTCCCAAATTTCTGCTGCCAGAGCAAAAGTGGTATGCCACATATTACACAAAGGATACCTTGCAGATCCAACACTTCTTGGAAAAATTGGTCTTAGAGTGTACTCCACGTACAGTCAATTTGTGCAGAAGCAGCGATCCTGTACAGGGAACTTCTGTGTGTCCAGCAGCTGAGACACAGCCACTCAGATGAGTACATGAAACTTTTATAAACATTACCAATGTAGCAGTTCTTTGTCCGTGAACTAAATGCTCTTGTAATATCAGTAGTAAGCATTTGCAGGAAACACGCTAATGGATCACAAAGCAAGAAATGAAAAACCGTGCATCACACTGTGGAGGAAGGATATTTTGGGAAATGTGTGGTGAAGCTCTATCGGCCAGAATCTCATGTATGAAAGCAGATGATTTCAGTATGGACTTTAAAATACTGCCTATATCAAGAGCATAATGATGGTGTTTAAACAATTTATAATGGGTACTAGCTAAACAGATTTTGACACTGATAATCACTCATGTCCATCAACACAAATTAGGACTTTTTATAGCTCCAGTACAGAAGGTGACCTTTAAGACCATCGGCCTTGATTCACAGTTAGCTTTAAACCAGGGGGGGAGGGAAAAAAAGTCTGGTTGCAAATGTATAAATACTATTCTAAGTGAGAAAGGAGGTACAGAGGCTTCCAGTGTGTGTCTAAGAATATCTGCACTGAAAATTTTATATTGAACATTCTCCAAAATTCTTGTCTAATCCTATTCATACATGAAGTTTATGGAACAAAAGAGTAACACCACATACTAGTCTTCTCACTAAATAACTACAAGTACTGTTATTCCAAAAGAAAAAGTAAATCCATCCATCATATTATATGAATATTTTAAATGACAGATGTGTATTGAGAATCACAGGTACCAATGCAATATTGTTACTGGATAGCTTAATTATCGAGGGAGTTGTGAAATCCACCAATATGCCTCAGACTGGTTAGAATTTTCTCTATTTTATATCATTCCAAAAGCTATACTGTTCACAGCCCAAATGAAAACTATGTGGCAAACTAGGAAAAAACTTTACTATGTTGATTCTGAGAATTTTAATGCAATGCTTTCACAGAGATGCTAATACTATATCCCAAAAAGCATCTATCAATAAAGGTTTACTCTCTACAACATGTTATGTTTGGTTTCCAATGTATACCTTAAAAATAAATCTATCAACTGTAAAAAGGAGAAGAACATCTTTGTTTCTAGTGACTGGAGTCCTGTGCTTTGGTTTTTGATACTGATTATAGGATTTCCCATTTTTTTTATGAAAGCAGGACAAAAATAAAGCATTAAACACATTATAGTGCATGCTCAAAGAGGTGACAGTATATGTATCTCTGTAAGACACAGATCTCAAGGCTCTTTATATTATTTATAAAAATTACTTTTAAGTACTACATATATTATCCCCTATGGACGGTTTTTCCTAATTTTCTCTCACGTTCCAGACTGGTTATTCCTTCCTATGGTAAACCATTGCCAACAGTAGTAATTACACTTTTCCAGAATGGCAGCAGCAAAGCTTTAGCGTATTTAATCTACCAGCAATTTAAGTTCACACAGACTGGAACGTTATCAACCACTACTACATTAAATAAAGCTTTCAGATTCTACTTGTTACAAAGGTAAGGCAAAAAACTTAAGGGAAACTGCACAACTCACATGAAAAAAGATGGTTTGACGGAACTATAATCACGGTACTACAATAATCCAAGCTTCCAGTGTCAGGGTCATAATCACAGTGCCCGAGGCTCCTCTCTGTCACACTAGTTTACATCTGCCAGACTGTCACAAGTCTGTGCTTTCAGTGTGTAATTGCATCAGCAAGTGCAATACTCATTTCTTACCCTGTGGTGACATTTTTATTTATGTATTTAAAACAGGTTCTCCAACAGTTACTCACTGCTCCACAGGTGAGGCCCTCCTGATGCCTAAAAGCATTGCAGTGAAGGATTCACACATAACACGCTGCACTGCTTCTATCACAGTGATGCCAACAGAAGTGATCTCTCCCTTTCTTCCACTTGATCAGTAAATCAGGTTACTGAGCATTTTTTTGAAATATAATTGCAGACACTTTTTTACCCTATGCTAATAACCTAATTTAATCTTCCATCTTGAGAAGTTGGATTTTTAAACTGGGAAGTTAAATATGTATCACCACAGTCCCCAACCAATTCCCCCACTTTGATAAGGTGCTGATAAAAGTTAATCACAGCCTTTTGATTAACTCTTCCTTTCAACTCTTTAACTGTCTGTCTTTGGCTTTTACCACCATAGTCAAGCAAACCCCGACAGTTGCTTCACGGGCACTAGACAAATGTTTAACATGTTACATGAGAAAAGGTTAAGTACAAACACAGCTAATAATCTGGGCTCTTTGGAGGTAGTGTCATATCTGAATAAATCTGACAGCACCTCATTGTAAAGGGCAAGAATTTATTATTGTCCAGGTTAAACGCCGTGCTCTTATCCTTTCTGTGGCTATAACATAAGAAAGGCTCTTTGTGTGCTGAAACAAACATTAAAGTGCCAACATACACAAAATGTATAAGGTGTCCGGGGATTATTCTTCAGCAAATAGTTTAACTTACTTTGGCTTCAGTCTCTCCCCTGTGAAGTGTATACAAATGATGGACGGCACTTTGTGATGATGACCAAGGATGTGTCAGTATTTGAAAAACATGGAAATCATGGCCTAACGTGTCAGTAGTGACCAGCAACATCCCTGGGTAAAAAAAAAAAAGAAAAAGAAAAAAGAAACACAAAAGCACAAGAGATTAATCACTGCAAAATAAGAGGCTTAAGAATGTCTATCTAAAAAAGCTAGCATGGCTTACATTTTGTTTCCTGAAAACAAAAGAAGACAGTTGCAGAAAACTACGGAATTGAAAGGGATCCACTTCATAAAAATGAATCAGAACTTCAACTGAAATCATATTAGCAGTATTACTACTTAAGTATTACAATACAAATCTATAAAAAACAGCTGAAAAATGTGAGAATATTGTAACTGAAGTTGAGAACTTGTGTGACCAGTATGTAGCACTGAAGTGATGAACATTAGAGTGAAACCCCAAAATGCTCTTCACTGGGAAGGAGCCAGTATAAAAAAAGACTGATGTTTTCACAATAATAATTTTTTGAAGAAGAGACATTATCAAAACCCAGACAAGACAACCCGTACCAAAAACAATCCTGAAGAAGCATCTTTCTTATAAATGTATATGGAAGAAACTGTCTGATTTATTGCTTGAAAGGCAGCAAATCAGAGTTGAGAGCTTTCAAGTGAAATATTAAATTAGGTACTAACTTCATTGAAAACAGGTCACTGATGGATGTACTGAAATGATTAAATTAGAAGATCAGCAGAATCACAGTAACTTATATATGCTATTTATTTTTTTCTCCCACTATGTGTCAGTCTATAATCCAGTTTTTAAACATTTACAAACATATTTGAAGTCAATTTACTGTAAAAGTTTAAATTTTTATACCAAAAAATAAGCATTTATTTTACATATAAGTACAGCATCATGGGCAGAATTTAGGAATTTAGTAAACAGACTTCAGATTTATTTTTCTGTATAAAAACATGCATATTACCATGCTTATTAATGAAATTTAAGAAGTTATCAACCAAAGTAATCCTCTGACATTGAATTAAGATCAAGTACAAAGTGATTTTAGCAGTTTAACAGTGACATCGAAGTGCCTTCTAAACAATTTTCAAGGTACCCATCTATTAAAGAAAACGAGGAATTTCCACATAACTCCGCTGTGTTGATTCTCCACATAAAGCATAACTGAAATCTTTTATTCTTCCGGAAAAGAATACAGGTTTCCACATTTTTCATGACACCTGCTGGAAGGATAAACGATTATCTTATTTCTGTCATAAAAGAGCGTTTGCCTTCTCAGTTTATTTACACATGGCTCCAGGATTCACCTTTCCCTCTTCTGCTCACTGCTGCTAAAAAAATATATACAGTGCAAGTTTGAAAGCTCTCACACACTGCCACTGAAGTTCTACATCATATGCCACTTTCGATACTTTAAACTGGAAAAAAACCCCAACCTTCTTGTGTACTGAGCAGCAGAGTAACACTCTCCCAGTAAAGATTAAATTTAATTAACTTTCCTACTGAATCATCGTTACAACATCACTAGACAGGTATCCTGAGCGTTTCCTTAGCAATCCTGGAACCCCCCTTTCCTTAATCACAAATAGAAGAATTTCAGCAGCCGAAGCCTTGACCTCCCGGGCCCAGCGTCACTCCGCTGTGCCTCCTCCTCCTCCGAGGCCGAAGCAGGTTTGTGAGCACGTCTGTGCTCACGGGAGGAACAGCCCCGTCCTGCAGCCTCCGAACGGGACAACCCAGCATCGCCGCAGCCTTCGCCTGAGCACGAACAGGTGCCTGCCTCCGTTTCTCTTGACCAAAACTCTTACGAAATGAAGATCTTGTGAAGGTAAACAAATACCTTCAAGGCTATGAAGCCCACCAGCAGTAAGGTACAAAATCGGAGAGAAATCCGAATTGTGTTCAGAGACAAAATTGCCCGTGAGTTTCCTTCTCAGCTTGACCACTGATGCTGGTAGGGCTTGGACAGAGCAGGAGGCCACCCACGCTGCGCACAGCCATTTCCTCAAAATCACACAAATGCAAAATCTTACATCTGACCTCAGCAAGATTCCCTCCAGCAGACATACTTTTACTGTTACAGGCTGTTACCTCGATTCCGAGTGTTAGAAATGAAAGAGAGTTTGTTATGGAGCTAAGAAATCCACGAGTGCATTTGGGTATTATGTTTGGGCGGTAAAGCATGTGAGTTGAGGTTGGTCTGGATGTTAATGTTGGCTTAACTGGCAATTTCCTTGATTTGTAGTGACTGTGTTGATAGGAAATACAGCTAAAGTTGCTCAAGTGCAAGTCAGCCAAGTCTTTAGTGTGGGATTATGCACACAATTTGCATTAATTCTGTTCAGAAACATCACAAAGTACACTTCCCTTCTAGTGAAGTGTGCGGTCCTCAATAATATATAGCGTTTCCAGTGGAGAAACATGGAAGCAAAGAGGGGTTTGCATGTAGAATCAGGCTGCCACTGTTACCAGAGCAAGGATATTCCAAAAGAGCTAACTCAACACAGTAAGAATTTATTTTCTATATTCCCATGTTTGCCTCTCTTCATGCATTAGATAGCTTTATCTAGAAAGAGAGTGTGCTTTTGGTCTTTTTGAGAGCTCTTATTCCAGATGGAAAAGACCTTTGGAGAAGGGGAAGCTGGAAGAGATGAACACACAAGGCTTCTCTCAATAGTGAACAGACGGCCTCAGCAAACCCAGATTTTTTTTTTTTTTTTCTTCCCCCAAAGTGCTAGAAGTCTTTTATAAATACATACGCAGAGCTGAGTGCACCCAGAGAGATCTGAGCACAGCATTCTTCATGTGTATCCCATCACATGGCACAGTGCAATGAAGATCGTAAAAAAAAAAAACTTTAAACGAGCCAAAAATCTGTCTGGAAGCCGGAGACAGAAAGCTGCAGAATAATCACGAGCCAGTGAAAACACAGGAATTACCATACTGCGTTGTCCATCAAATCTATCGGTTGTTTAGCTAACCAGTATCTCCTTTCCAATATTGGCTAGAAATGCAGGTGTCTGCGGACGGTGCAATAAACCCCACAGCACGCAGACGTGATCTAATTCTGCCCTTTTCCTCACAAAGATTTCTTCCCAGACCTGTGATCTCTCCTTAACCCATCGCTAGAGAGCTCACTCCGTGGCCCTACGCCACAACATACATCCCCCAAAATCCATAAAGCATCCGGTGTTACCTGTTTGCTCTTTTGATGACACACACCGTACCGGAGCAAACGGAGCCGTGCAATGTGCTGGCCTATCTGCAGGTCTGATCGGTTCCATATGATGCACAGAGTTCTTGGTTCCATATTAATGTGCGTTGCCTTCGGCTTTTGTGTTTTTTGGGTTTGGGGTTTTTTTCTGGTTTTGCTAACTTGGAGGAGCACAGAGGTGAAAGATAATACATTTGTGGGTGGAAAGGAATTGGATTAAAAATAGAAAGATGGGTGGTATCTGATTTGGCAATTTTGCGTGCCTAATCTAAAATCCTGATGTCTGTCACTGTTTGGACTAAATGCATTTTATTAGATGAAAGCCGAGGAAAAACAGGCCCTTCGCTTATATTAGCGACTATTTTTCAGTAAGTTAAAGGAGGACCTTTCGTACTCACATTTGCATTTGAAATACAAATATATACTTGCAGAACTTGTATCAACACAGAGGTCCCAAGCACAATACCGCAGATGTGAAAGAACGTGTATTTATAAAACAGCATTTTGAAATATCTTACTACTGTTATTCAAACAATAAATCACTGATGTTTTAGAACATTTGACTTGGGTTTTGGTGTGGTATTTTCCAGCTCTCATTACTTCACACTGAGGAATCACAGTTTTCAATTATGACGGCTCAGCCATTTCGTGTCTCTCTCCATCTCCCTGCAACACAAGGCCGCTGCACCACCCCAGCAGAAATACCGAATCCCAGCAGAGAAACATGAACTTGACTCTTGGTCGTTACTTCACTTTCACTTTCAAACGCAGGAAACTTCAGCTTTCTGAAAGACCTTGTGACAGTTTTCCCAAAAAGTTGTTTAGACGGAAATATGGGTTAAAGCTGTCATAAGTTCAGTCCAAAATGTTTTCTCTTATGATGTACTTTATGTATGAATAATCATAGATGAAAAGTGAATAATTCTCAAGGATTTCCTGCTTATTTTTCAAACTGGCATTAATCCCTGTTTAACAGCTAACATCTGAAATCAACTGCGAGTCTTGCATACACAGAACCCAGTGGAAATTTATGTGTAAAGCAGATATTACTTAGCATGTATCTCACTGCAAAAATTCTGATTTTGCTTATCCAGAATACGAGGGGCGCAGCTCGATTAAACTAATGACTGTTTCACTGTGTGGCTTTTCAAATCCACAGAGACAATTAAAATCCAGTTTAAAAGGAACAGAGATGGCAAAAAATTACCGAAGCTTTGTTTAACCTGACAGATACGTTTGCCCTAATTTACAGCTTTCTACTTTTGATGCATTCTGTTGGGGAAACAACAAGCTTCTTTCAGGATAGAAACGTTAAAAAATACAGAGAATATATGCATAAAAGGAAAAACTAGTACAGATGTAGACTGTGGGTTAAGAGCTATTTATGCAGTATCAGAAGACTAAACCAGACTCTGGCCTGGCCATAAACTAAGCCCACGCCCTAAATGAGGTGCCAAGCCACAAAAAGCATTTGCGTCAACTGGGAATACAAGGAAAAGAAGGACTTCTAATTATAGGGCCTGGAAGCGGAAGCCCAGAGTGATTAGGAGTTTAGGCGCTGCTGTATGTTTATCTGGGAGCTTCCTCTCGCTCGCTCTCAGCCCGGGTTTGATAGATGAGGGTTGGCCTAAAGGGTGGGATTGGAGTTGCTGATGGTACACAGAGTTCTCCGCAATCCGAAGGAGACGGAGACGGAATACTAAGGCTTCTGTGGCCTTGTAGGAACATAACTCTTTTCAACTAGGCGTCAGCTGGTTAGCCCAAACGGCAAAATTAGAGAGCAGCAAATCTCGGTTGGGTACTTGCTATAAAATCTAGGAAACCTGAGCAGCCTAAGCATCCCCACCACATCCTATTTATAACACCTATCTA